AGGTTTTTGTGTATCTTACATGTAGTGTGACAAAAACTAAAGTGGTCCTTTTTCTTTAGACATTAAAAAATCACAAGTTGGAAAACTATTTGTGAAAAACAAAAGCACAACAAAGAATTAAAAATAAAAAAAGTAATCAAACTCCAACAACTCAGCCGAAACCAAAAATCTATCTTTGAGGAGATGTTTTCAATACTGTTATGCTACAATAGCTCGAAGCAGTTTTAAAATACATGATTCAAATTCAAATATAAACATATATTGTATCTTTTTGACAAAATTACAATCATTCATTTCCCAAGTATTTGAATTTTTTTTTAAATAAATATTTAATGATAAATACATAGTTAGTTGGCAATAGGGGGTTTTCAAAGTATTCTGTTACTCAAATGAATAATTCATGAAGGGGGAAACGTTAACTTAAACATGCCTACAGACACAACATATTATTATAGCAAATTATTGCAATGTCTAATATTACAATATTTTATATCGCAACGCTTGATATCGCAATACACATAGCAGGTAGTACCACGACAGTATCATCAGCCCTCTTGTTGTTCCCAGCAGTTCGTATGGTGTTTATTGAAGAAGGAAGACTGAAGATGCTGTTATTGAATCAACCTGTTCAAATGTTTTACAATAATGAAAAGACGTATTTCAGTCCATCATCGTGCTCCCTCATCCACTTTGTCCACCTCGGACTCAAGTGCTGCACTCTTGTATGCAAATGCGCCGCCGGAGTTTCATTTGCCGTTTTTTTTGCAGAGGTCAGCCTGTGACAGGAGATCAGTGTACGGCAGACAGAGGGCAGATTGATTTAACCCCCTGCTTTTGTTGTCCCCCCCGCCGCCGCCAGATGTTTATCCCATTTGGCGTGTCGGACTCGGGGATGAGGTCTGTTGTGTGTGCGTTCTGTTCACACGTGGCTCAACAAAGCGATGGCCCTGACAGAGGCTGGTAGATTGGACTGAACTATCAGTCGCAGGCCAGAGGAGACGAAGGGACGCATCCTGATGATGTCCCTGTGAAACAAACAACGAGACGGGGGAGGGGGGGGAGTGGGACAGGCCGTCACTGGGAGCTGACATAAAGTGATGAGCTGTCAGGATGCCTTTTTTGTTTTTCCCCCATTAACAAGTCCACCTCCAAAATGTCGCTTTTTTTCCCCCAGCCGGTAAACTGCTTTTTGAGCCTCTCCACTCATCTGGCCCACGACGACATGTTCAGGCATACAAAAAAAATAATGGTCTTGCACGTGTCAAACGTTTATGTCAGGGCACCTCTTCTGAAAAGGGGTGGAAGAGGTCGGTGCATAATTTAGAAGGTGTGGGGGCCGAGGCCACGCGGTTAATAGGAACCTTTCTTAAATGCTCAGAGAGAACCCCATTAACCTCTTCAGCGATTAGCAATCTCTAAATCACACAAAATGAATACATCCTAATCACCGGGGCCTTCAGGTAAAACAAACACTAATCAGTGAACTACTATCGTGCATGTTTTGGAGAATGTTTTTTTTAATGTTTCGTGTGTCATGCCTTTTTCTTTTCAGATATCGATAGCCGGCCTGAGGTGGGGGAGGGATCACTCTCCGCACGCACACTCGCAAAAGAGCAAACACACACAAACAGGAGCGCGCCCCGAACTCACGGCGGTTCTCACGTTTCTCTCTCGCTCTCATCCTCGCAAACACACTTGACGAGAGGGCAGGCGATAATGATGCTCTCGCTCATTCGATGCCACGCAGAATCTCCTCATTGTGTTGTTGTGATTGATGGGAACTAAAGAGCCTCCATTTAGAATGAACGGAATGAACGCCAGCTAACGACTTATTAATCAGACATGCGATACTTGATGCGAGAACGGGAGTGTGATTCTGGCTCTTTCTCTTATGTATCAAACCAGCTCTGCTTATAGAATATTTGGAATTGGTACGTCTACTGGTGCACTTATCCGCTCTGGGTCAGAGTGGTGCAATGGGTGTGCGCCGATAGTGGCAGACGGGAACCATCAGTCTGCATCATTGGCAGATTAATGAGAGCGCTGTATTTAGCACCTGGCCTCCCTCTCTCTCTCTTTCTCTCTGTCTGACCTACTGCCAGCTGAACTTGTATTTTCTACCTTCAAAAGGTTTTGCAACTGGCATTCAATCAGCGTTCAGGTTTTCCGTTGACTTTGGGGTTGTACTTTATACAAACGCCGCACAACGGGCAAATGCAAGTGCTTTTTCCGGCGCAGCCTTTGAAAGAAAACCATTTTGAGCAAACCTAACCAACCCCAGCGCGTCCCCAGCACCCAACCCGCCTTCCGCCGCCTCTCTTGAGCCGTGACCCAGAAAATGTGACTGTGGCTGGGACTCACTCCTGACCCTGTGTTGGGGGAACGTTGGTGTGGAGCACATCTGTATTCAGCCCTCGGCACCGCACTCATATTGTCATTGGCCAGCGCCCAGACTCCTGAAGATGGATGGAGCCACGGCCCAGCCTAATAACCAGTCCAGGCCCCCCCCCCCGGGGGTATACACTGCGCTCCTCTGTCACATAGGTCCCTGCACTGTCTCCATATTGACTTAGGCCTTTCATTTTCATGCATTCATATTCATCGCCAGACAAATCTTTGTCTGCTCCCGTTGTCGGCGGGCGACGCCCCTCTTCTTTCCTGTGTTTCGGTTTCGGCACATGTCACACAGTGTGGTGTACGGTTTCCATGAAATACGCCTCGCCTTGTTGTCCCCAAAGGTTTTCCTTGTGTGCAGTACTCTCTGTTCTACATGTTTTGTATTTCCTGCCTGACACCACTTTAAACCCCCCCCCCCAAAAAAACAGAACAATTGCCAGCAGCCGAACAGGAATCAGGAAGCTGGAGAAATGTAAAGGTCGCGGCACAGTGGTCATGCAGAGGAAGATACCGGTTTGATGTTGGCGGTTCGAAAGGCCTGTAACTTTGGGGTCAACTCACGGAATGGAAAAACGTTTAAATCGAACAGAAGTCATAGGACGACACCGCCTTTTCGTTTGGTCTGAAACATGAGAAGTGGAGGACAGACACCGACAGAACTGTGATGCTGCGCTCGCAGGCTTAAGCGCACCGAAAGAAATCAGGCCACGGAGAGAATGGGAGGCTTTCTGCAAATGTTTTCGGGGCTCTGTGCTGATTTCGGGGGCCGAGGCTCTTGTAGCTGAAGTAGGCGGGTGCTCGTGTGGCTTTGTGTGGATCATTTTCTGAGCGCTGTGTGGGTGAGCGGCTGCGCGCACGTTTGTGTTATTGTGAGCATTGTGAGGGAGGATGTGCTACAGCGGCAGCGCTATTGTTCCTATATCTCCCTCTCCTGCTCTTCCTTCCTCCCCCACCCGCCCCAGGTTGTGGACGCCAAACAGGGACAGATTGCTGCGTGCTGCGGCGCGAGCATTCCCGTGGAGTCGTAGGTTATGTGACCATCGGCGCGGTGAAAAATAAGGCCAGGTGGCGCTCGTATGCCCGGCACGGCGGCCCTCGCCCGGGGTGGGGGGGGGCCACGCTGTGCTGTGCCGCGTCTTACTGTCGCGCCACTCCTCACCGACACCATTAAAAATGACAAATGTGCTCATCAACTGCTTTCCCATGTTAGCAACCGCTGCCTGGTGCTCCCAAAAGCACCGTGTCGGCTCCAGTTCACCTGCTGGATTTTGACACAGTTGGAAACAACAATTTATTAAGCGCGAGTCCCTTTTCGATTTATAAGGTGTTTGATTTTTATGTCATTGTAAAAGGTTAGGAGTTCAACCCCCGAAGGAGCAGCAAGAGGAGGGGGGGGGGGGTTACTGAAGTACTAATTGTGCCATTTTTAATATCCACAAACGATGCAATAAGAGTCTTTCATTCTAGAAGCTACATAATAATTGGAACACCAGACTGTTGAACCCATTCATTAAGTACGTGAGAAGGTAAAAAATGTATCTGGGCCAGTGTGCTGAGAAGAGACAGAACTGAAGCATGAGGCCATCCAGTGGCCCCGGGTAAAACCAGGCCTACTCAGGATGTAGATTAACAACCCCATCCCGGTTCTTCAGCTCGGGGGACGTTGGGGGAGACGTATCTAGCCCAAGACAGGTGCGTGCTTCTGGGCCACGGGGCCGGCCCACTTCCACTGCCGAGGCAGACCTCGGGCCTCTGTGTCCCCCCGAGGGAATTGTCCATTGTGTTGACCATCTGTTGAGGCACACGTGCACACGCCAGGGGTGAAAGGGAGGGGGAGGTGTGTGTGTGTGTTTGTGTGTGTGGGGGGGGCTGATGTGCCTGTTTAATATCATTAGGATGTGCAGTTGGACTCGATAACGCTATTAAAGAACATCCGCAGCGCAAATGAGGTTTGCACTCGTGCGAGCGTAACGGGAGGGAAAGGGGGGGCTGCGGAATGGGCGACTTCAGACATTTGCTAAAATGTAGGATGTTTAAAAGGTGGGGTGTGGGAGTTGGCAAACAGACCTTTTTGTTCCTGAATGTAGAGCAAAATATCATTTTGTCGGACGTCGCATGTCTCGGGTCAGGGGGATGTTCATGTGCAGCACACATTTCCAACGGGGAAAAGTATCTGAGGTTATGTGGGAGCCACAAGCTGACGGGCCACCGGCCTGGAACGCAGGCGCTTACATCATCCCCCGTGGGACCGGGACCCGGGCCCCCCCCACCCCGCGCGCGCCCGGTGTGCAGTACGCGGAGTCACCCGAGGGGTGGCGGTATTTCCCTTCGGTGAATCGGACGCCGCTTCAAATAGGTCAAGGAAAAGTTTGGATCTTTTGACAAACGCGAGGTGGGCGGAGCGGCGGGGCCCGCTGATTGGCTGGAGAGTGTCAGCTCCCCGCCGGTGATTGGCCCCCACCGCTCTAATGGGGCTTTCCATGCTTCCCCCCTTCACCATCCCACCCCCACACACTTCTTCTTTTCACCCCCCCCCCCCTCCCTCTCCATCGCCCCTTCTCTCCCCCCCTTGCTCTGCGCACCCCTCTGCCCCCCCCCTACCCTCCTCCCCCCACTACACTCCCTTCTTCCCCGGCGCTGATTGTCACACATTGTTTACTACGGCTTGAAATGTGACTCACAACAGCGGGCTATCTGCTGGAGGAGCGCTCTGACAACTGAGGGATTCTTTTTGACGCGCGCCGTGCGCCTTGGTCATTTTGGGGACACGCCGTGGACACTAAACCCCTTTTCCTGCCATGGCAGTGGATTTGTTTGCGCTTTTGTGCGTGCTGGTCACCGCATCCTCCGCGATGGAAGGTAAATGAAAGCCCGGGATTGTGCTTAGATGTGCGGTAGATGTGGGAACGCTCGTCTCCAAGACGCGCCGTGTTCGGAGACGCTCCCGAGGTTTTTTACGCCCCGTCGGGCAGCGGTGCGCTCGCAGCCACGGCAATACAGAGGTTGCGATGCACGTGGGTCGCGGCAGATTGCCGTGATAATCCCCTTATTTCGCCGCGTTAGTGCCCCCCCCCACTCCGCTGCGAGTCACCGGCGTCGCTTGTCCACGTGAAGAACGAGACTTTAAACTGTGTTTACTGGCATTCGGGAGTTTATCGGTGGCTAAAATCAATGTCTCTCATTCGGCTGCCTCGTTCTGCACGCCAGGAGGAGTTTCCTCTGTAAACATTGTTGTTTTTTAAGTGGGGAAACCACGGCTGAAATGTAGAAAGCCCGTCATAGCTCAAAGGCTCCTGTCACTGTTCACTGAATTGTATGAAACATTGTTACCAGAAGTCCCCGAGCAGCATTCAGTGTCATTTTAAACTGCTGAGACAAACTCTTCCAGATTTTGGATTCCACTGTTTGGAAGTTTCCCCGTGAACTGGATTTATTGATCCACCGAGCACCTACATTTAATTTGAATTATTTGAATCCTTGTAAATCAACAGCTCTTAAAAAAAAAGAAGAAAAAACATCATCAAACACTGAATCTGGCTCATCCCCGTTTTCTCAGAATGTCCTGGTTGTTTCTCCGTCTCCATCCATCTCCATTCCTTTGTCTCACTTTTTGTTTGTGCGTCTCCTCCTTTTCCCCTTTTCTGTCTCACGTGCGCTCCATCCAGACGAGCACTTGTAGGTTAATGTCCCCTCAGTTAAACATGTTTTTCATTTCCGCTGTGGGACCCCCGGGGGGGGGGGACAGTGAACACTGTAGCCCCAAACATTGGCTGGTGGATAGATATCCCGGCACCATCTTCACTCATTTCATTGTACGGTAGGTCACACTCTCCAATAACCCCCCTCCCTCCCCCTGCACGCGGCCCCTCCCTATAAAGCATACATAAGTCAAACAGAAGCACACATACAATGAGTTTTCACATGCAGCTACCTTCTTTAATCATTTACAACTCCACCGCTGCTCGCAGCCTCGGCCGCGCTCTGTAATTCGACAGGCGGCCTTCTTGTTCGTGCTCATCAGATTTCCACACAGCCGTACGGAACGCCGAGCCTCCCTCTGTGAGGACGGACGGTTTGACGCTCAAATGTTTGCCCTAAGTGAAATGACGACAGGGATGCCCACCGGAGGGGGGACGGGTGGAGGACGCGAGGGAGAGACGTGTCCCTGCGAGGAGACGGGGCGTCTGGGCTTACTCCTTTCTATGTAACGGGGACCCGAAAAAGAAACAGATGGGCAGAGAGATGCACCCCCCCTCCCCCCGAGTCACCTCGGTAACGAGGATGAAAGTGATTTCCTTGTTTGGCTCACTAATTAAAAGGTGGTTGTCCCGTGGACTCATTCAAATCTGCACTGATCTGAACTCCAATCTGTTGCTTTTTTTATGTGTGTGTGTGTGTGTGTGTGTGTGTGTGTGTGTATGTGTGTGTGTGTGTGCGTGTGTGTGAGGGTGAGAGAGAGTGGAGCCATTGACCGCATTATCCCCGACTCTCCAGTCACCCTTAATCTGATTAGGAGCCCAAATCGGCCCAATAATCACCAAGTGTCACATATCGGTGTATGCATGTGTGTGTGTGTGTGTGTGTGGTGGTTGCTTTGTAAGAAAGGCGAAACTCATGACTCTGCGCGACACCATGCTTTAATACCATTAACTGAATTAATTATTTGATGTCCTTACGCATGCTCACACTCACAGTGAACATACGACTGATGAGCTGACAAACTACGGGAGGAACGGAAAGATGTGAGGCAGCTGAGCAGTCCAGAAGCCTGGGTTCCGGGGCGGGGGGGGGGGGGGGCTTTTACAGGTGCGTGTTTGTGCGATGACAGAATGCAAAGTTGTTCAATTTAATCTCCAGCCCAGCTATCCGGCACATGAAGTCACGATAATCTGCATTGGAGCGATCGGAGGGGGGGGCCGTCCGACCTGAAGCCCCACCGGGCCCTCAGAGGGGGAGAGGCAGGGCCACGATTTGCATCCCATTGGAAAAAGTCAGCATGCGCAGCGCTCGGCTTTGACCCTCAGTTGTCTTCCCTCTGCATCTCTCCAATCATCGTCCCTCTGCCTATATACTTATTTCCACACCTCCCCGTCCCCACTCATTTCTTTTCATTCGACTCTGTCTCCCACGGTTCTCGTCACTGCTCTGTCCATTCCTCCGTTGTCCCCCCCCCCCCCCCGTGTGCGGATGGTTCTTGCCAGCGGCAGCAGTAATTCTCCCTTACTTACGGAGCCTTGCTTATTTCTTTTTGCCCTTAAACCAATTAGACCTAGATAAGCCCGCTCATTTAACCGCCTGGAACCGGGTGGTGGAGGGTTAGAGCAACGGAGGATGAAACTGCGATTAGAGGACGGACCTGGGGAGGGAGGCAGATAAAAAAAAAAAGTATGAGCCGACGGAGGGAGGTCAGTGAGGTTCAGAAAAGGAGAGGTTTTCTGTTTTACAAATGAGCATCTTGCAGTTTTAACAAGGCCCCCGAAAGTAAGCAATCACTGGGCCGCCTCGGCTGCGCGGCGGCAACATTCAGTGTAAGAGCTCATTAGTAATGTGCTTTAACCAGTCATTTAGGATGTTGTGTTAAGCACCTGTGCTATTCTAAAGTAAAGCCTCCTCCTCGGGGGCCAAGGGGATGAATATTGTAGCTTCCTGAATAAACAATATTAATGATTTCCTTCGAGACAGATAATAGGCAATAAGGTCAGAACCACACGTCGTTGATACACATTAATAAGGAGCGCCAGCGCCAGAGTGGAGTATCGATTGGAAAGGTTAGAGGAGTGTGCGTTGTGGAGCAATGTTGCAGCATCCATCGGAGTTAGAGACTGGGGTAAAGTGTCCTTCGGCAACACACCGACTCGGCTCCAGAGCTGCTGTCTCATAGCTGACCCACTGCCCCCCCCACTCCCCACCCGACTCCACCCTTCCCCCGTGGGGAGGTCAGAATCAGCCTGCTGGGTTCATGTCTAATCAGTGCAGCGGGAAGCTGGAATTGCACTGACAGTTTCGTGTGGAATGGAGTTGTGGCGCTGAGAAGATAAGACACGGCCGGTCCACCTGTTGGGACAAGTGTTATTGGTCATTGCTTAAACTTTTGGAAGTCGGAAAGCACTTTTGGCCGTTTGGAAATTTCACATTGCATTTGAAATATTGAAAAAAAAAAATCAGGCTTCAATTGATAGATTCCACGGCGCGTTATGTTTTCCATTATTTTCCCAGGCGCAAGTCGTATTGTCACCTAAACACACTGTAAGTGCTCCCCATGGTTCTGTATCGAAGTTGCCTCACAGACTGAAATCTTGTAATAAAAAAAAGAGTGACTTTGAGAGACTGGTGCGGCGTCGAGTTAAGAAATCGTGGCTGCTGTGCAATGTGAATTGTGCGCGCGTGCGTGCGAGCTCACCAGCTGAGCAGAGGAGGCCGTCTGTGAAAAGAGTCCCGTTGAGTCTCTAATGGATGTAGATGTGTGATTGCTCCTTTCCCCCTGCCTGCCTTGTTTCAAATGGTTAGAAAAGAGAACAACAAACATATGGAGGCAACACAGGCCCACCGGGTCGAGGTGCTAGTGCTGAAAAGACTTGGATGAAAAGGATTATGTGTGTGAGTGGCTACACGAGTGTACAAGTTTGGGCCAAAAGGCACAACCGCTGATCTGGGACAACCTGAAGTAGAATTCCATCGTTGTTATTATTGTGCTTTCGGGTGCCTGTGTCGTCTGGCAGGGACGGCAGAAATGGCCTCATCCCATAATTGAGGCTTTACTTTTTTCCACAGTGTTAAGATGCGCTTACACGGCCCACTCAGCTATGACGACCCCCAGTGAAACCCCCCCCGCCTGCAGCTTGTGTACCCGCGGTGCTGTAAATGTGTTGTACTGCCTTTTATTGTGAAAGGCTTTTGCTTGCATGCAGTCAATGCGACATCGTGGGAATAGTATGTGGTCTGTGCAGGTTGTTTGAATACCGTAGTGCGTATTTTCTGTTGGACAGAATGATCACCGAATTGTTTCTCTCTCTCTCTCTCTTCTCTCTCTCTTCTCTCTCTCTCATGCACACACAGAAACAACACGTGCACATAACACATACACGCACACAATGCTCTCTCACTGCTCACCTTACCCCAGAGACATGTGAGCCTTGGGAAGGCCAGATGGTAGATGCAGGTTGGGGGCTGGTATGCATGCGCACATTTCTGTGTACCTCTCATTGGGAGAGACGAAGGCGAGAGCAGCATGCGGTTTTTCTCTATTTGCAGCCTGGTTGTCTCCCCGGCGCCAAGTGGACATGGTCCTATCCTTCAGTATGCCGTCCGCCTGTGTCTTCTTGCACATTCCTGCGGCCAGAGAGGATTTTCCCGAAGGAGATGCTATCAGCAGTGTTAGGTTCCGCCCGTCCGGCTTTGTGCTCAGGCCCTTTTATCAGAGCAGGTGACTGACTGGCTGCGGGACGAAGGCTCGGGCCTTATCGGTCCCATCTCGGGGACCAGCGGACCCCACCGCATCCGCAACATACGAAACGCATTAGAGCACAGGAGTGAAAGGGATGACGCTCGGGACACAGTTCAACCTCAAACTGTGTGAGTCATCTGTTTTCTGGTGAAAGCCAGTTCCCTCAAAAGGAAAACACACAATATGGACACTCATACACAAACACACACACACACAATGAAATACTCATTGTGGCTTAAGAGCACGAACTTAGAAATAAACCCCCGAGCAACTCAGAGTGGAAAATGGCAACGCGAGTAATTGATTGGGAGCAATGACCCAGCCTTCCCACCACTCAAGGATGGTGGTGTGAAAAATGTTGCTTTTTCTCATTCTTTTTCTCTCTCTGGCTCTTTTTCTCCATTATCACCTGTCC